GATTACTCTAATTTTGCTTTTTCGACACTGCTGCCAGGCCTTTGAAAATAATAACCTATAGCCCTCTTCTTTTCATGGAGAATTAATTACTTTATGCCATGAAAGGAGTAAGATATGTGTACTTGTAGTGAAAATTTTTCCTTTTGCCCATGGCCACCTGTGTCTTGCATCTCTTGCCCACTCTACGTAGGAAATTACCATGTTTTTCCATGAGGGTGAATTTGTAGAAATCTATCCATGATGAATTTTTTTTTTGTCTTTGCAGGTCTGGAGTTTGCATATTCACAGGCTCCTGAATACCTCAAAGGAGTGATTATGGCCTTATTTCTAGCAGCCTCTGGCATAGGAAGCTATGTTGCAAACCTTCTAGTTGCTGTTGTCAACAATAATTGGTATCCCGCAAAAGATCCCAATCAAGGTCACATGGAGTACTTCTTCTTCATGATAGCTGGTTTGATGACACTTAATTTCCTGTTGTTTCTGTACATTGCATCCTCGTACAAATACAGAGAATCATCCCCACAAAGTAAAGATACTGAGGATGACGGATCATGTATACTATAAGTGGCCTCGGTCGACATATCGGCCTATACATCAGCCGATATATCGCTCGACTGACGACCGACTATAGGTCGGCTATCGGTCGACAATCGACCGATAAATATGTAGACCGATATAGTCCTAGACCATCGATACTCGACCGATATATGACCGATACTTGACCTATACATGAGCGTTACATGACCGATACTTGACCGATACTTCACCGGCAGTTGATCGCTCCATATCGGCCGATGCATCGGCCGACAGTGCTGAGTGGTGTGTGTCCATTTGCAACTGAATGTGCAAAAACTGTTATGTTGATGCGTGGGGCTAAATACTTCCAGCTGTAAACCAATCAAAGTGTCAAGGATTTGCAATATAAAGGAAGAAAATAACTGCAAAATCAATCAACTCTTTGGCGTGTTTTCACCATTCTAGAATACTATAACTGATTTATATTGTGTAATTGAGTTTCTGGACATTTTTATTTATTAAGCTTGCAGTATGACTCATCTTAATTCTCAAATTTTGATTTTGTTTGTTAGCCTTAGAAATGAGAGACTTTAAGTTATTCTCTCAATTCATGTAATTTGCCACCTAGTTTTTAGTGTTATTTATTAAAAGTTTATTTGGAGATTTATACGACAAGCACTCTTGAATTAGATACGAATATACCCTAGACAGAGGGGTTGTAGGACTTGAAGCTTTGGTGTTAGCTAAATCTCCCCTACCTTCTCAAGAAAATGGAACACTAACAATGACCAAACAGAAATGAAAATAAACTTCACCTCAGTAGATCATTTTAATCCATGCATTTCCTTCCTTGCCTCACAAATCACTTAACAATTGTTATCAATTTAAGAAAGGGATCATGATTCTAATATTTCCACATCAGAACTGATGAGACTGATCTTTCTGATGTGAGAAACATGAATTCCACAGATATAGGAAATGTCCTGTGAGAGATGAGCAAAAAACAAGACAAAATTACTCCTCAGAATACCAATACAATATCAAACAGACAAGGGATGAGAATAATGAAAGAGAAATATTTCATGCCAAGATTCCAAGAATTGTATGGCACACAGTACGGAGAATGAAAACTACTCTTCTCCACTTTCCCTCCCCTCCCCTCCCTCACCTGTCCCCCGCCCACCTCACTTTTCCCTCACTTAGAGCGTCAGATTTCAATTATTTTCTTTACGACCTATTTAACAAGTCGACAGTAGTCTAGAGTGGTCAGTAATCTCATCGACAACGATATTCGTCATCACAGTGCATGGTCAAAATGTTGGGAACTCACGAGGCGCAGCTGAGTGAGTCCGCAACAAATTTTGACCACTGTGATGACGAATACCGTTGTCCATAAGTGTACGCTTAACCACTGTCGACTTGTTAATCATTACCACACTATGCATGGACGTCACATAAAACGGTTCTTTCCTTGCATGGCGCGTTAACGCGAGCAGTGTTGTATGAACTCGTATCTACAACGGTAAACTGCCCAATCAGATTGCGACATCACCGCCTTTTGTGGTAAAACACCCTTTTTTATCAACTTTAAGATTGTGATGAAGCGATCGATTGTTCCTTTTTCCCGCTGACACAACAAAACTGTGTGTTTAGAAATTATTACCTCCGAAAATTTTCTTATTTGCTGCTTGTCAACCTTACATACATAGGTTAATGTACCACTCCCCAGAGGGTCTTTTCAGGGCCAACAGCCACCCATCCCACCCAGGGGAGGACATCCACCACACAGTAATCTCGTGCGTGGGAAATTAACGTCTCCTACCCCTAACCCTGCAGGAGACGGGGCCTACGATTTATTCGTCCTTATCCGAGAAGACTAGAATATTTATCCAATTCTTTATTATAGAAAGGTAGCAAATTCTCCTCACTTATTTTAAGACCATGAGTATTGGTCCGGCCGGGGCTCGAAGCCTCGACCTCCCGCACAACACAATCCGGCGCTCTAACCAATTGAGCTAACCGGGCGGCGGTTGTACTGATATTCCAAACCTTTTACTGATATTCCAAACCTTAGACGACGCTCGACAAACAGAAAGATTAAAAATGAGTAAATAGGTTTCAAGAAAGGAGCGGGAGCGAAAGGAGCTCACGCGATATCTCGTGACATATAAGTTGACGGTCCACTAACAGTCTCGTCAAGCAAACTACCGTTACCTGCTATTTTAATCGCAGACGGTAGTATTTATTTCGACATTATTCAAATTTTACCTTTGCGTAATACCATTTACTTTCTTCTAAAGATCAAACATCTATTATTTATCTGCAAGGGTAAGCTTAAACTATATATTTCACTGCAAGCGTGACAATTTCCTTTCCAGGGGAAACCATACTTATGGTGAGTTATGTGAGGGTGGTACATGTGGGGTCAAGATCATGTTTCACGAAAAAATGAATATATCCTTTCACAATTCACGGTCATCGTTAAATATTGTCGAAACTACTATGAAAATCACGGTTCACGACGAATTAAATACTTCTTTCTCATTTCACGGAGAATTCTTTTGGGAAATCACGGTTCACGGCCAATAATAAAATCACGATTCACGAGAAAAAAACAAGCCATTTCACGTTTCATGAGAAAAAAAAATAGTTTAGTTAAGTTTATTAGCTTCGCCAACCGGCAGGGACACCGCAACAGCTTGCGCCAATTACTGCGGGCCCAGTAAACTCACTCGTCCCACCCCAGGGGGAGGGCATCCATCACATAGTAATCTAGTGCGTGGGAAATTAAAAAGGTTACTACATCAGAATCTTTTCTTTGAAAAGACCTTCCGTTAAGTGCCGTGATTCCACTTTTTTAAATGTTTTTGCTCGTCTTTTTAAATTTTTTTTTTTTATCTAGGGAAGGTGGGGATAAACAACACATAAACCAAGTTAGAGAGTTTCTTTTTTCTCTTACAGTGAGAATATTTAGCAAAGTTATTGCTAACAGTGGACCCTAAAAATATGAGGATGATACTTCTCTACTATCATTTGGCTATGGATATAAATAACTTTATTAGCATATTTCATTCAAATATAAAAGTAGCCAGTTTCCACATTAATTTTGCTTTCATTATTTTCTTTTATTGTCTCATTGGTATTTATAAACTGCAAATATAAGTCAAACCTCAGAGTTTATAGCAGACTGTACTCGAACCGTCATTAAGTGACGTAATTACACCAAAATTGTGAAAGATTTTCCCTGGTATAAGGAGATCGAAGAAAAAGAACGTTACATTTCTCATCAATTTGGTATTTAATGTTTAGCAATCGTCAGCAGTTTAGTAAAAATTGCCGCGAGAGGTCCAAAAGTTATCTGAATACAGAAAGAGTTCGCCTCTAATGGTCTAAAAGTATTTACTGCGTTTATTTCTCAATGCAAACGTCTTGTATCAAGCTCAAATAGCTCCAGTCTGGCATTGGTGATGCGTGGCATAAACTTGTGACAATCACTGCTTCACAAGAAGTTGAGCAAACTTTATATTCAGGAAATTTCCTTTCTTAGCTTTCTTAGATTCGTCTGTTTTTTTCAGTTTCAAAACAAACATATATTAGAAGCTGAAAATGATAAAAAAAAAATATTGACTAAAGTAACATTTCAAAAAAGAACGATGTATAGCGGGTATACCAGAAGCCAAAGCTGGTCATGTCAAAAATATTATTTGTAGATGGCTAGCAGTTCATATCCACTCAAACTGAGGTGTACTAACGAACTTATCATTTGCTAATCAAGTCCTTAGCCAAGGTTATTTCTACTATATGGGAAAAAGGCTGAATGAGGGAAAAATGTCATCAAGTGTAAGTTTAAATGGGCCGTTTACGTAAGCGCATAGACATAATATCCCACAAAGAAACGATACCAGGGTAAGACAATATAAATTGGTCACGTTCTCTTAGTTACGTCGAGGTCCGGATGGCTGAGGGTTATCAAATCCAAATCATTGAACCACCCCTCATCCGCTTCATTGACCTTATTTTTTTTTAATTTGAGTTTATTTATTGTGTTATCTTATAACCGTAGTAATTTACGCATTTTAATTGGATTCAAGGTCAAAGGGTTATCAAGTTAAACCAAGGAACACTCCTCATTCGTTTCTTAGTCCTCATCATTTTTTAATTCATTGAAGATTCTTTAAATTATTACGTTACCTTAAAGCCGTATTGAACTATTTGTTTCTAATTTTGACTCCTATTCGAGAATCACAACGGGTTTTTTTTTATTCAGGTAAAAAATGAGATAATTTGGAGTAGATTTCCACAAATGCATTTTCAGTCTGTTCTAACTAAACTGGCCCTTTCTCTTTGTCTTCTATTGGACCCCAATTAAAAAAAAATTAAGATAGTACTTCTCTTTTTCTTCTGGCTATGGATAAAAAAGAGCTTTATTAACTTATTTCATTCAAGTTTAAAATTATGAATTTTGATTTCGTTGTTTCCTTGTATTGTCTCATTAGTAGTTGTAACAACCATTTAAAATTTGCATACGTAAACTGAAAGTATAAGTCGCATTACAGAGTTTATAACAGACTGTCCTCGATTTAAGTACGTGATTACTCAATACTCCCTTTGCTCGTTCCGCGAAATGCCGCTGTACATGCCCTGCAAGCGCAAATGTAAACCTGAAATCGAGGCTATCCCTGTATAACACTTGAACAAAAAAACAGCGCGAAAGTTTCGTTTTAGATTTGTTGTTGGCTCTATAAGCACTATGAACGAACCAAAGCTCCACAGAAAACATAGAAGTCGAGGAAAGCAGTGTTCAGTTGTAGCTTGTAATAATTTTGAATATCTAAGCGACGGAAAACATCGAAAATTCACTTCTTTGAGTTTCCAACCAAGCCATCGCTTCGAAATCGATGGTGCAATTTAATCAAGCGGCAGCACGGCAGAGACGGCTTTTACGTGAAACCTTCAACGGTCGTATGCGGCCATCGTTTTAAGGAAAATGACATTTGCAAACCTCCGGGAGGAACGTGGTACA